CTTTTTTATGTTCCTTTTATCTAAAAGTATATAAATATCTCTTAATTTTTTTTTATCTGATTGAAATCTGTTTAAATGAACTGAAAGCATAGCAAAGTTAGACTGTAACCTTGAGCTGGTTAGTGTTGGGAGAGGATGAAAAGAGGTTAAAGGCGTGAAAGCCAAGCTTGGGGACCCATCACTGCCACAAGGTGGGCACATACCGAGAGGTTTTTGTGAGTTGTCACGATACTTTTAAGAAAACAATTACTTGAGTCGACAGCTCCAGAGTCTCATCTGTGATAAGTGAATGGCTGTGAGTTGGCAGATTCCTTTGAAACTACTAAGACTCAAAAAATAATTCTATTTCCATTAAACCAGTTTGACGTTTAGAAGAAGTCTGCCTCTCAATGTTTGACACACATGATTTTTGTAATTTTTTTAACATTTCACTTATTAAATAATTTTATCAATAAAATTTGAGATCATTTTCTCTATCTCCTTAATATATTGTATCTTTACTTACATTTGACATTTTCAGTTAAAAAAATGGAAAATAATTTCCTTTACCTCTCCATATTTTGATGGTAGCATGGTAACACACAACAGTGCATCTTGATACTTTAAAAGTGCTGCATTTGGATTTATATGGCTTCAGGCTTTATGTTAACCACCACATCCTCTTCACATCTAAAATTAGCTCATGTCTTTCCAAATGGGTACCAAACCTTCTGATTTCTTAGAATTTGTTTTTCCCCCTACTTACATTCGAAGCCACCCACCTGTTTTTAATTCTTTTTCTATAGGTAAAAAGTAGTATTCTGCAGAATGTTCATTCATCTTCCCTAGGTACCAAAGTTCCATTACTCCCATTACAAAATGACTTTGATGTACGCATGAGTGAGAGGGCAAAAGAACCAAAGTCAGAAGAGGTTTGAATGTGTGGGGTGTGACATTAATTTGCACTTTAAATAATCATTTCAGGATTTGTATACAGGATGTCAGCATATCTACTTCAAAAGTGGGGAAAAACCCTTAAAGTCACTGAACTCATTGGTCTACACAGTTTTAAACCACTCACTTGGATTCATTTTTTTTTCATCAATTTGATTATAATTTTGTATAATACAGATACAGAGTCTGCTTGGCTACAAGCATATAAGCTTCCCGTAAATCTTGATATGTACACGTTTAAATGATGTGTTCCTACTGAAAAGCAATGACCTTTGCCAGAGTTGTCAATATTCTCAGTAATAGAGAGGGAACATGTACCATGTAACCAGCCTCCCCCAATGGTCACATCTTGCAGAACAGTAGTACACAAGCAGGACATTGACACTGGTACTCCAAGATGCAGACCTTTCCACCACTGTAGGATGCCTTCTATTACCTTTTATAGCTACACCTACTTCCTTCCTGTCTGCATTCGCACCTCAGCCCTGTTTCCCAAGTCTATAATTTTCTACTTCAGGGACATTATATAAAGGGAATGAAAAAGCATGTTCCTTTATGAAGCTGGATTTTTTCAGTTAGCATTATTCGCTGGAAATTTATACAGATTGTTGAATCTACTGAATATCAAACTACTGAATATCAGTAGTTTGTTCCTATTTTATTTTATTTTTGTGGTGCTAGAGATGAAACCCAGAGACTGTGCATGTTGGGCAAGCACTCTACCACTGAGCCACATTCCCAGTCCCGTTTGTTCCTTTTCAGTAAGTAATAAATCATGGTATATTATATCACAGTTTGTTTAACCATTTACCCACTAAGGAGCATTTGGGTTGTTTCCAGTTTGAGTCTATTACAATGAAACTGTTACGGACATTTATGTACAGTTGTTTTTTTGAATGTAAGTTTTCATTTCTCTGGGTACATGCTCAGGGGTACAATTCCTGGATCACATGGCAGTTGTATATTTCATTGTTTTAAAAAATGCAAACTGTTAATGATTAGGGTGCAAATTAAAACCTCTGTGAGATGTCACCACATTCCCATCAGAAAGGTCCAAATAATGAGAATCCCAAGTATGGTGAGGATGCAGAGAACCTGCATCTCTTGCTCATTACTGATTGGTAAACAGCTTGAACAATCATCTTTTATGTGTATTTCCTGAGACCCATGGTTCTCCATTTCAAATCTACCTCTTGGATGCCACTTGGAAGCTACTCGCTGAATCTAGTTTTAACTAAAGATGTACGTTGGAATCAACAAAAAAGACTTATAGTCAATTCTCATTATTTATGAATTTCACAGTTATACATTTGCTTACTTTCCAAAATTTTTTTTATAAATCCCAATCAGTAGTCACCATGCTTCTAAGCTTATTCAACAACATATGCAAGGCAGGAGAAAACTTCATTTCACTAGTGTCATCCAAAATGCAAGTTCCCAGCTGAGGTTGAACAAGGCAGAATGTCTCCTTGCTCTTGCAAACTGTAAACATGTGTGTCATTTTGGTGGTCCATTTAGTGCCACATTTTCCTCACTTTGTGCTTTTGGTTGCTAATTTCACTATTTAAACTGTCCCCTACATACAGGATAGCATACCACCTGGTATTCACAAGAAGGCTGTGATGTATCTGATGAAGAAAGTATGTGTCTTTGCTTTGTTCAGGCATTAGCGAGCTGTCAGCCATAAATCTGATGGTAAGAAATCAGTAAATATTAAATGAGGTGTCATATATAGAAACACACATAAAATAAGGATTTGTGCGGATTGGTTGATGAAAATGTGATCAAGGGCTCACAGGAAGCTGTCCTGTAGTTCTCCTAAGAGAAATACATTGGTATTCACTAATTTATTGTTCATGGTAAACTTCATAAAACAGGACCAGCACAAATAACAGGAGCTGATTACATATTTAAATATGATGGCAATGACAACAAACTTCCACCTAGCCCAAGCGATGCCCCTCTCTAAAATACTCCTCACTCACAAATCACTTTTCTTTTCCCTACCAGATAGTGTTAGAAGAACCCAGTTTGGGGAAGAAAGCCTTGCTTTCTTCAATCATTTTCCTATGTCTGTATTATTAGTGCTTCATTTCATTCTTGAACTACCTAGTTTGAATGATAAATTATATTGTCATTTTACTTACTTCATAGACAACTAATAGGCATGCACCTTGGAACAGAGGTCCTATCCCGGTGCTTGCTCTTTTTCTTTTTCAGAGGGAACATTGGCTAGGCACTTCTAAAATGCATTGTTCTCCAAAACTTTGGATGAACCCAGTTGTGAGGGAGAAGGTAGCATCAGCTGCAAGACACGATGATGTCCCTGGTGCATCGTATTTCAATAGCAACATCTGTAATGCCTTTGGGACTGTGTGGCTCCTAGAGGGTAGAACTGGAAGACAAGCAAGCACTCATTAAATCAAGACTTTGGCCTTGAACACTAGGCAGGTGAACCCTTTCTCACACACCCACTGGGGGGTCCCTGTGAATACTCTCATGTGAGTCAAAGGGTTACTAGTGAAGATACCCTGGGGGACTCCTCTATAGTCGCTGGCCCTGGGGAACTACCAGGAAAAGCCACAATATAGAGACCAAATTCAGTGACCAAAATGAATCAATAATTCAGAGCTGTGGTTCCTGATTTCCAGCTATGAGACAGACAAAAAAACAAAACAAAACAAAACAAAAAAACCAGCTTCTGATGGTCTTGTTGTGACTCCAACAGCCTTAATCTGTCTGTTGTTTGTTGCTCCAAATGGCTCCATAAAATTAATAAAAAGAGGAAGAAGAATAATTTTTTCTTTCCACTTATTACTGTAAATAGATTACAACATTGGGAGAATATTTTTTCATTGATCTCATGGAGGCAAAAACTGGTATTTTTCCATGTTATTGAATAGCCTATTATACAAATTAATTTAAGACTCTACAATGGGGGTAAGAAGCAAATACCTTCATGATCATGGTGTCTGTAATGTAGAGATGCATTTCCAAAACTGCTTTACTTGGTAAAGATAAGCACACAATTTCACCTTTTTACTCTGAAATGAAATTCCTGTAAAGCTGATTAAATAAAAGTTTAATTCTTTACTTCACTTGAATCCCCAAACCATACCCTTGTTTTGTTGATGTTTAAAGCTAAGAAGCTGCTGATAAGCACATGAGTTAATTCATTGCTCTTGGAATCATATTTGACTTTTCATTGTTATGGAGACAAGAAGTTAGTGAGAAAAGTTCCCCATTTCTAGAGAAATTTCATGAATATATAACAGAAAATATTACAACTCTTTAAGTGTATATTTTCCAAAACTCCTGTTATTTACTTCAGGAATATTTGGGAAATAATGATGTTCTATAGAGAAATTTTCTCTTTTAGATATGTTCTAAAATTGCTCTCATCTTTTTCATTTTAAAATTTGGAACCTGGTTCATTTACCTGGCCATCAAAATACCTGTATTTGCATATTTTATAATCAGTTATAATCACCCATTCTCAGGAGCGGACTTAGGGAGAATTGCATTACAGGATACCATTGTTTACACATAAACAATTTTTAAAAATTGTATGCATTATTAATTTTGAGTTTAGTCATTTATCCAAATGTTTAGGTCAAAATTTAAAATTCTTAGGTGCAGATTAGGAAATTGAGTCCTAAAATCCTTTTAGCTCACTTGATGGGTCACACTATTGCTAAGTGCTTAGCAGGACTCAATTGCACTTTCTCTCTCTCTCTCTCTCTCTCTCTCTCTCTCTCTCTCTCTGTCTCTCTCTTTAAGTAATTGTCACATTTCTCTCTATCTCTGTTGTATAAGTCCTTTTCTTCCAGAACAAGTGGTCCTTCCTTCCCATTTTCAGTGCCTTTCCTCTTGGTATTTCATGTCCGTAGGATGCTTTATCTTTCTCATTAGGTAAGGGAAACAAAAGGATCTGACTCATCAAGCTTCAGGGTTCCCTGTGCTCTCACCAGTGGTGTACTCAGCAACACCTCCCCCAGAAGAAGAATGCATGAGACCCACATGGTCACCAAACTGTGCAGTAGGTCTGCTCATCCAGCTGTGTCAATCAACCTATTGGAAATTACTTGGATTTTGAATGTCTAGGTCATACTGAAGCAAGATCCTAATATACAATTTAGTTAAAATTCCCATAATTCTCAACCTTTCTGACAAAGTTGATAATGGAACATTTTCTTATGTTTTGGCAAAGGAGAAAGGGAGGAAAGGAGATGAATAATCACCTCATAAATCTTTATTTATTCTTCTAGGAAAAAAAGGTACTCATCTGGGAGCCACCTAAGGTGATTTTTTGGCTTTATTATTATGTTTGATGACACTCTAAGGGTTGGAAGGACATTTAATGATGTTCTTCAAACCAGATACAGTGCTCACTCTTATTATGTATATTCTATCCCTTCTCATAATTTTTATATTGACCATTGATTTATCATTATGAAAAAATGGAGAATTAACATTTTCCAGAGGACAGTGGTTTTATGAATTGATCCACAGAAAGCCTATATGTCCCCTCACTCATCCTTTCTCTTTGTTTCTCCTCCCATCTTCTCTCCCTTCCTCTCCTCTCTCCACATTGCATGCTCAGAGAGAAACTTTATTCTTTTGATGTATGAAAAATTCCTCAGTAAGGTAGGGGGAAAAAAGAAATATTCTAGGCAAAAGAGAGGATTTTAGCTAGGTTGGAGGTGAGAGAAGGAAATTAAAGGACATTATGTTCCCATGAAGTGCACAGAAAAAGATAAAAGGAATGGTGGACAGTGAGGGGGAGAGATAATCCTGGAGATACCTGTGAGCCATGTTCAGGACTTGAATTTACTCTGAAGGCCATAGGGGAGTGATTAGAGCCATTTTTGAATGATTATTTGGATAGCCATGGGAAAAGCAGACTACATGAAATTAAGACTAGAAACAAAGCAAAAATTTGGCAGTTATTAAAATCATTCAGACATACATATTGGGTAGATCCTTGATAGATTCAAGCTCTATTTGGGAGATAGAAATCCTAAGATTCCACAGTGTGGGTGATGTCCAGAAGAAATGGGAATTCTTCTTCCATGGTTCATAACTCTGTCAGCTTTGAAGCAGGCAGCTGGGTGGATGGTTAATAGCATTTCCCAGGTGAGAAATCTGCAAAAGAAACAATGGAAAGGGTTGAGAGAAAGGTGTGAGATTTTCTGGAGGAAAAAGGAGATGAAACTAGAATCAAATCAGTTTTCTACAGGGTCATACTATCCACACTGGAACAGAAAAGTACAGAACCAGCTGGATATTTTGGTCTAAATATCAGGAAAGAAATAAGGACTATGGATGGGTTTTTGCAATGTTTTTTTTATGAAACTTGATATGAATGGAGATGCAAGGTTTATAAATTATCTTCTAGACCTTCAATTACATTTTTCATCTATTTGGTTAGCAACAAATCTCCAAAATATTATTTTAGATATTTAAAATTTAATGTGCTTTAAAAAAAAGAATTCAGAGAGGAATGATTTTTAGTTGAGTATAATATCTAGCCAAGTGTAGTATAGAGGCCAAAACCACACCCCAAGTATAAGCATTTGATTTTTTCCCCCTGAGCAAAATATAATGATCCATTTTCAAATAATGTGTGTGTGAGCGAATGTGTGTGTGTGTGTGTATGTATGAGGAGGTATTGGGTTTTATAAGCATATATTAAAGGCTCAAAGGGCTTACAGACATCAAATAGTTCTTCAAAATAACAACGTAGTGATTGAAGTGTAAATGAATCATGAAATATACGGATTAAATATGCCTGGATTTATTACGCATAATTAAAAATTTAAGAATTGCTTTGGGCAAAGTATGACTGAGGTTTTCTACTGAACCCCAAATACCCAGAAACACTGAAACATTAAAATAACAAATCTTTCCAAGTTTGTTAAGTCTGAGATTTCTGTAGATTACGTTATCTATTTTCCTATAGGAACATATTAACCCTTCATTTAAAAGGTCTAAAATACAATCTCTACAAAGAAATAAACTTCTACCTTGAAAATCCAATTCAAAGTGGATTGGTTTGGATAGAAAATATTAAATTTAAAAATGTGAGAATTTACCATCCATAATTAGGGTTAGGGTTAGGGTTAGGGTTAGGGTTAAGGTTAGGGTTAGGGTTAGGGAGAAGAATTGGATGTGAGAAGAATTGGATCTGTTTGATCAATTAACTTGAGGTGATGAACTAAATGTAATCAGCTGAAAAAATGCTAACTAAGCTCAGGATCAAAAAGATATAACTTAGCAGCAAATGTGAAAAACAAAACAAAATTTAGGATTTTAGTTAATTAAGAACCCAATATAAGTCTATCATGTGGTATTATAGCCATAAAAAGTACTTTTGTCTTGAATCGAATAAAGAATTAAAGTGTCTGGGCAGCACTCCATACTGTTCAGATCATGCTCTAACATTGTGTTCATTACATTCTTTATGACTTCATCTGGGAAAATTATACTCAATCACAGTGGACTCCACACACCACCTCATGCAAGAAGAAAAATGAGCAAGTTCAAGAAAATAACAAGCTCTAGAGGGATGTGAGAACTACTGGAAAATAACTAGAGGAGAATATCCTATCTGACTGGGTTTCATTTTCATTCATAACAAAGAAGTTGCCATTCATTAGAATTATCCAGTAAGGATGATATTGTTGTCTCTTGTTCAAGTCAGTCACATTTCACTTGATTATAGGTCTTCAAGTAAATAACTACGATTGTTGTAAATATGTTTCGTTATTACCTACAAATAAAAAGCTCTCTGTATATGGACACACATGAGTCTTCTGCTTACCTAGTTTCTAAGGTAAACTTAGTTTTCCCAGATGACCTTCCCCATTCTTTACCATCCATATTTTATTCACAAGTCATAATACATTTGAGATCCTTGTCTTGGAAATCAGCAAGATATATCCGAATGCATTTAAGGATAATATTTGCAAAGTTCTTTTATATTTGGCCCAAGAATCAACCTGCATTCTTATAATAAAAATAAAATAAAAAACCGAACAACAACAAGAAAAACTCTCCCTTACTTCTGCAATCCCCCTGGTAAAAAACAAAGCCTGTGTTTCTTGAATGTTGAGATATACCTTAAGTAGCCAATACATTGTCACCCAGTTAGTACCTAGATGTTTGTTTTCCTTAGATGATTCTGGAGATATTTTTTCACAGTTCATTATCCAAGGTTGTCATAGCACTTTGAGCTTACAGCATTTGTGAAAGAGAAGGGTGTGTGTGCCTAATAAATTATTGGTGTAGACATTAATCACCATTTATGCCATCCTAAACCTTGAACCATTTGTCATTATGTTGAAATCTCTTTAGCTAATGTATTGCTAATAAGAGTTGCTTTGTCTCAAGCCATGCACTATTTTTTGATAAGAACTCCATCCTTTGGTCAAGTGCTTGGAAGGCACCTATCAGTTAACAAGTAGATTATATGTCAGATGTTTAGGAAAGTGGCCAGAGGGTGATAAAAGAAAATAGATATTTATCAAACACCTATTCTATGCTCTAGATGCTTTTGTTATCATGTGATGCATAATTTTGTGAGAGAAAATTTATGACCCTCATTTTATCAAAACAATTGATCTTGAGAGATATTAAGTAGATTGCACAAGGTCCCAGTGAGAAACCTCATGTGAGTTCCATTTCCCATACTGTAGTGTAATGACTATATGTTCTGATTCTCTATATTTTAACACATTTTAAATTTGTTAATTCCCTTATTTACAATAACTTGATTCAAAATCTACTAAGGAGAGACTGAATAAGGATTTATTTAATTTAAAGTTCTCAGAGAACTTTGTATAATTCTTAGCCTGACTAGATGTCCTAAAATTAAGAATTAGTGAGTGGGGATGCAGTTAATTGGTAGAACACTGGTCTTGCATGCACAAGGCCTGGGTTCAACCCCTAGCATTGCAGAAAAAAAATTAGTGAGTAAGTATATACATGAATTAAAAAGCATTACACACCTATATTTCAGAGCCTCCCAAAGAATGTATAAATTTTGCAGTTGCACAGAAAAGTTTCATACTGTTCCACCCCAACAACTATATAATAACTCTAATGGCAGTTGTTCCATTAGACTGCTATGAACACCACCCCCCCACACATACACACACAAAGAGAATGTGCACATGTATGAGTGTCTATGTGTGTATATCAGAAAAGGTTGGGTATTTCTTTTGTTCTCTGTTCTAATCTAATTCATCAGTACAGGGTTCCAATCACAACTTGTTGCTTTAAATTCTTATTGTTGTTGCTCTTGTTTTGTTTTGGGAATGAAATATTGACTAATTCTAAATTAAATTCAAATGGGTATTTTGACAGAGATTGAATACAGAAAATCTCTTAAGACATCTAAGAAGTCGTTTTATTGGAACTACTACCTGAGGACTGGAGGATGAGTAGAGACCACTGCAGCAGCAACAGTACTTGTGCCTCTGAGGACGTGGTACCCTGCCTCTTCTTTCCCATTCTCTGTCTCTCTTCCATTCTTCTTCCTTCTTGTCTGAGGATGCAAAATTAAAAGAGGTAATTTTAATTTTCTCTTTGAGTGTGTTGTGAAGTGTGTTATTTCTAAATAACTCAAAGACAGAGTAAACTGCAAATCAAAGAATCATCCTAGGCAGTGGAAAGTGGGGAGGAGAACAGCCTGCAGCAAACCAGAAAGTGAAAAACTGCTCTGGAATCAACTGCTACCCAAATTACAGTGTCTCCCATTCAGTTCCCACAAACATGTTTTCCTTCACAAAATATTTAGCATTTGAAGTAGTTTCTACCTAAACCACGTGACTTGCTTTGCTTTTCAACACAGATTTGTCCATATTTTATTTCCTTAATTTTATATCTAATATGTAAAAAGAAAACTCAGGATCTCTAGGTTTTATATATTGGATATATAAGTTTTTATATAATAGACATGAAGATTTTACATAGTCATTAATCTTGCATATTCTTCATTCCCCATACATCTGTGCTGAAATGAAATACATAATTTTATTGCCAAACAATTTACAAAATCACAAAGACTCCATGTGAAAAATAAGCACAAAGATTCCATGTGAAAATATCCATAATATCATGAAAATTATAAAATGAAGAAAATTATTCTAGTATTTTCATTTTGCTTAAACATCAATGTATACAAAAGTTAATAACAATGATGTGTGAACTTATTTTAAGCAGCAGCTAAATTATAGCTGCATTGTATAGTAGTCTCTACCAGTTGGAATGGTATGTTCCAGTTCCACACAGTTGTTATTTTCATTGAACAAGTACCAAACTCATAAAGTAATTAAAAGTATTGTTTACAGATTATTTTGCTTATCCAGATTTATGAAAGCATAAATTTTTGTTTCATAAAAATATATTTACATTTGGTTGTATACTTAGCTAATTTGATTCATGCTAATGTATGTTCCATATATAAATAATTTTCTTTGCTCTTTAGTTTTATTTTATCTATTCAGCATTTACCTACCTAACTGAGTGTTTATCTATAACTCCTTACTCCTAATCTCAATTGTCATATCTTAACTAAATAACATTAAAGTGTTAGAGCAATAAATTGTTAGAAAAATGAAGATAGAATAATAAAACCACATTTTCCCATAAAGAAAATTATTAAAAGTATTTGTGTTGTGAAGTAGTTAGTATAGGTGAATATCATGATCATTTTCTAAAGTCATGTGTTCAGTAAGATATCACTTTTTCAATAGGAGTCACATGTTTGTACCTATGGAGTTCTATTAAAACTTTTCATCATGAGTTCTTACAAATATCCCACTTGGTGAGGTAACGATATGTGGGAACTTTCCAGAAAATCCCTATAACTGCTAATTATGTTTATACAGCTTCTGAAAATGCACAGAGAATATAATGTTCAAGAGAATGAGAAATGCTTTTGCAGCACAATGCTATTATGCTCTGGGTTTTGCTAAATTAAGCCTATGACTATTACATGTTTCTTTTATATTGAAGTGTCCTATCTTGCAGGATATTGAGAGATAACATGGAACACACAAATGTGCTGCATTACTGCTTTTTAATAGAAAGCAGTCTTTACTACATGACAGATGTGCCAATCTTTGTCATTTCTCAGTTCTAAAATGCTGACTGGTCAAAGTATCATATTTACCTGTAGAATACTTGAACTATCCCATTTCACATATATTCATGTGAGCAAATGCACTGAGCCCAGACTCTTGTTTTTCTAAACTGGTTCAGTGTCTTTCCTCACCACCCAGTAACTAAGGTTGTCTCCTCAGGAGTGCTGCTAGCACACCTGAGCAGAATGATGGCAAGACCTGGGAGGAGGCTCTGGAATTGAACTGTCACTACATTTGGTTTCTTATGTGACACTTATTCTCACAAAATCTTCATGAAACCATCATATGACCCAGTGATCTCAATCCTTGTTATTTATCCAAAAGAATTAGCATACTGAAGTGGGACATCAATGTTTATAGTGGCCTAATTCACAACAGCAAAGCTATGAACCATCTTAGGTGCCCATCAACAGGTGAATGGATAAAGAAAACATGGCAGGTACACACAGTGTAGTTTAACCCAGCAATAACGAAGAAAGAAATTATGGTATTTGCCATAAATGGATGGAACAGGAGAACATCATGCAAGTGAAATAAACCAGACTTATAAAATCAAGAGTTGAATGTTTTCTCTCATATGTGGAAGCGTCGAGCAAAGTAAAGGGGTGGGGGAAAGTGTGGTCAGTCTCATAAAGACACAGCAAAGAAGAGCGGAGCAGAGAAAGGAGATTGAGAGGGACGGAGAAAGAATGGAAGTGCTATATGCATGTTTAAATTATATCACAGTGGATTCTACCAATTAAAAATAAATAAATGAGTGAAAGGTAGAGCAATAGAGAAGAAGAAGAAGAGAGGGATGAATGGAGGGAAAGTTGGACACTGGGAACTGAAACAATATAAAATTAAATTCCATGTACATATGACTTTCTCAAAATGCACCCAACTGTCACATACAGGGATAATGAACTAATAAACTCCACCCCAAAAAATAAAAATAAAACCCCAAATCAACTAAGGGTGAAAAATCATATGGCTCAGAGAAGCAGTGGGTAATTTAAATTTACAAAGGGAAGCAAAGGGCCTTGGAGAGCAGGTAATTTTTTTTTCTGAGAAGCAGATAGTTAAACAGGAAAAAATGAAAGCATTTAGGGTGAAAGATATAAGGTCACTTCTCCCTCAGGCCACTACTGCCAGTGCCTTAGGTCCAAATTTCAGCTTCCTCATCTGTAAAATAGGGATTTGAACATCAGTGATTTCAAGAAGCTCATAGAGATGATGGCACTTATAAACTATAAGGGGCTAGCTGGGTCTGATTCCTCGGCTTCTAATAACCAATTCAAGAGAGTTCGTAAGAAATTGATCCTAAAGATGTGGGTAAAGTGAGCAAATAGGAAAATTCACCAGAGGATCAAAGTGGGGGAAAGAACAAAAAGAAGAAGTTCTAGGAGGTTTCACTTTTTTCATGGTTTTTCTAAAGAATGACTATATTTTGACCTGCTACAGGAAATTCCATGTGATCACTGGCAAATGGACATTTATATCTAGTGGGGCAACCAGCATGCAATATTATCCAGCTCTATGGTGACGGGCAAAGACTCTGCCAACAAGCCCGGATATCACTGGGTGCCAGCTTCTGTGGTATAACATGGAAGCAATCAACACTCCATGGTAGAGTATGTATAAAATTCATTTCATTAGTTTATAATCACCCTTCTAAGAAACATGCAGTGCGCTCTGCATGGAAAATCAGGTTAGATTCCAACACAAGGTCTTACAGAGTCCTACCGGGGTCTAAATTCCCTGAATTATGGTGCTTGGTTTTATCTGTGACATACTTTAATGGGAACACTGAAGGCAATGAAACCAAATCACCTGCTCACTGATATCCAGGGTATGTTCACTTCAACACAGCTCCACTGTGCAAGGTACAGGCAGCAGGATGGTTAGAATGTAAGTATGCTTTGCTAAATTTAACATGCAAAGCAAATTGCTGGGGATCTTGGAGTCAGGTCTACTGTTTAAGCTGGAGATTCTGTTTCTAATATACTTTCAAGTGATGGTGTTGCTGTTGGACCAGGAACACATGGACTTCCTGTGCCTACCATAGCAAAGTGTGAAGGCATAAAGGAGAACAGAGTATAAGAGTTTGACAGAAAATGATAAACTGGCACAGGATGAAAATGCTGAATGGTTAATGGCAAATAAAGCAAGGCGACAAACCAAAAAGTCACACAAAGGTTGATGGCAACTACACGTCTATGCCTGTATTTGGTTTACAATTGATTTCCAGTTTATTGACCCATGGATGTATTTATACAGATACAAAAATTAATAGAAATTAAAATACATTGGTACAAATTGTGATTGTATATTACCTACAGAAATACATACACATGGCAAAGTGTGTATGTGTGTAACATACAATGCCTTAGTAGGAGGTGTGCTACAGGAGAATACATTGAGGTGAATATGCTGGGCAAGTTTTCTAATGCAGTAAGATATTTATAGACACCCTGAAAATTTTATTCAATCTGTACCTCTATGCATGTGAGAATAAACAAACATAATTGGTTAAGATGAAAAATCATTGAAATCAACACTACATTTAACAGATTTGCTTTATAAATTCATGCTCATTACATGTAACTAACAGACACCTTTGATCAAAGGGAGATTAACATAATTAGGTGACCTTCTATTAATACTGTAATAAAGTAATTTTTGCTATCGCTGTGATAATTTCTAGTACAAAATTAATTATTTCAAAAATTTTGATCAAGTGCTATAAAAAATAAGCCATGTTCTTTTTTCTTCTCTTGGACATAATTCAGTTATTGCAGATACCTATAGCAATAAATATTTCTTTTTGTGGACTGGAGGTAAATATAATTGAATAATTTAATACAATATTGATATTTTTGAATTTCTGAAAGAATAAAAACCAAAATGTGACTGTTTATAAAATGGTAGCTGAATTCTTTAAATTCTTTTTGCCATTTTTGCCCTTTAAAAATTCTTTCTTGGAATTTAGTTTTAATTATTCAATTTAATTCAACCCAATCCATTCTAGTGAAATTATTATATATGTTTAGGCATAGTACTTAAGAACTGAGACAAAGCCTGATTGATGTATCAGAAGTATCTGTCTTAGGAACAAAATATTTCAGTAATATGAAACATTAAAAGTAACAAAGTGTGACTGAATTAAGCTATGCACAAATGTGACTTAAAATGAGTCTTCTTTTAATCTTGACCAGTTTTAAACATAAATACTCTTACTCTAAAAACCTTAGTCCATCAGTAGACTGATTATTTTGGGATAATCCTTAATTTGTTGTCAATGTCACAGTTTATTTAATATTGGAAAGTATCTTTTACTTGTGAAAAAAAAGTAAAAATAAAATTCAAACTTAATATTCTTACCTAATACTAAAACTAGTAAAACAGAATAATTTCATTT